CACAAAATGACAGTATATAGTGGTAGCATAAAAAGGGCAAAACATTCAGACTATATGACAGTTCTAATCACATATAGCGCTTCATAACTAAGTATTCACTATCTGTAGTAGTGAGTTTGTAAGTCATTTTCCTGCAGGTTAGTAGGTCATTTTGCAGTCATATTAAAGGGGAAGTTCCGATTTTTAATGTCAGCCCACCAGTGTTAAACTAGCAGTGACATGGACAAAGAAGCTAACAATTTACACAACACTCATACTATGCTAACGGGATTCTAATGAAAACATATGCAGTCCACAGTAAAACATCGCATTGGTTTAACCAGGGCTCTCAAGTCTCACACATTGGCCATGAGACACACATTTCAACCAGTTCCCACGCTGACACGCCACACCTTGTCTTTCTTAATGCCCTTCAAGATGTCTCACTATATAGAATTAAAGGATGATGCGCAGGCACACGGAGTAGAGCTTTCTGTGGAGTTTATAACTGTCCCGAGTTATACAGAGTTAATAGCTACCTACCAGCCAATCAGAAAATAGCATTTGTTGTTTCCGGGTAAATTCCAAAATAAATGACGTGAGATCCAACTGCAAGCATGTTATTACATGGATGCATGGACAGATGGACTGCAGAAATGATGGAAGTTAGCAAGATCTGATGAATGCAGTAGGCATGGATCTCAAGTCTCATGCTTTGACTATGAAACATACTTTTCGCCCAAAGTGAATCTCACTCCAAACATTTGATGAAGCTTGAGAGCCTCGGTTATAATACTTACTATTTACAATGTAAATACACAGGTACACATATTAAATTACAGATTACACATACAATTAGCGTGGTGCAATATGCCATTAATCCTCACCAACTTGCCCAGCGGCATCACATTTTGTGATGAGGGGTCAGCAGTCCCTGCCACCCCCAAGTCTAAAAGTCCCTTAACAGCCACAGAGACTGGTGGTGTGATAGCTGCCCATGTGTCACAGTCCCCATAGTTGCCTGTGTACCTTCCTTTCCTAGTGCATCCTCATCCATATCTGCTGTAGGGAGGTGAGATGGGCCCAGGGTGTGGTTTGGTGCCAGTCAGTCTGCGTGTAGGACCACAGCCTTCCATCACGTGGGCAGCTGCAGGCAATGAACAGCATTGGAGAGCTGCTTGAGGAGCTCATCTGGTCCTGTATAAGCTGTCCAGCTTGGGTGGCCACTCCTTCATGTGGATGGGGCAGTACAGCCAAACTGAGTCCCCGACGCCAATATCCTGCCCCTGGTTACGCACATTGTAGGTGGGCATCTGTCAAGCAGTCGCTGTGCCTTGGTGCTGTTGACCCTCAGACGCTCCCAGTGGCACCACAGGTATTCCATACCTGGCCTCTTCACTACCTCTGGTTCTGTGGGTGGCCAGAACACCAAGGGCGCTCTTCCACTGCACCAGGTGCCAATCTTTTGGTACTTCAAGAAAGTAAGATATTAGCAGCTAGGAAATAGAGGCTATCGATTGCCAGTGGCTGCAGGTGGAGTAGGCAAGTGACCCAGTGCTGGCCTGAGTCAGGGTTGGCGGTAGACACGGATGCCACCCAGAGACCATGGCTCTCTGATCACAATGGGGGGCCTTCGAGAAGCTCGATGCACTGCTGCATCAGTGGTGGCACTATCTGGATGGTGATCAACATCAGCTGCAGCTGATGGTGTCCCACAGTCTCAACCGCACAGTCCCACAGGTAGTGCATGGCGTGACTGGAGTTTTGGAGTGACAAAGACACTGGGGAAGCCGCTTCTATTTGCCCAGCTTCAGTCAGGACATGTGTACTGCTGTGATCTGGTCACCACCCAGAAGGGCCCAAGCCACCAGTCCTGAGCATTGCTGCAGACATCAGCATCAGACATCTGACAGCGTTGCTCTCAGAAAGCCTCATTTCTCCACCCTCATCTCCAGGATTCCTGATCCCTTGAGAATTGTGGATAGACATTATAGTCTGTCATGATCAGCGATCGGCGAGCAGGCAGTGGAGGCGAGAGCAGCCAGGTTAACAGAAGAACGGGGTTTATTCATGGAAGAACAGACAGGACGGGTACTCACAGGCATTAGACGACAATGACAGATCTAACTAGACGGAACTTAGACGCGGACTAAATACACAGGACAGGTTGGAATTAACTAGACATAGGTGGGAACAATCAGGAAGTAACATGAGGTAATGAGGGGGCGTGGCACACACGAGGATCGTTCGGAGCGGATCGTGACAATAGTCTAAGCAGCCGTTTCCTGCTCAGAAAGCTGCCATTGGTCTGATGTGTGAAGAAGGATTAAATTGTAATTTTGGTTTTTTGATTTGAAAATATAGGCTAGGCATAAAACCTTTAAGCTTCAGCTGACGCTATTCCAGTTTGTAAATGTTGTTGGATTTTAATGGCATGAAGATGTACATGTAATATGTGAAATCTGTCATAATGATTATGATGCCATTGTAAAAAGAATCAGCATAATTTCATTCATTTATGTTCCCCCATCCCCCCTATTGACATGCTAAAGCTACCTCCATTTACCATATATTTAGAATCACATCAGTCAGTCTGTGGTTTTCCTTTGATACAGCCTTTATTGCCCCATCAGATCACTTCTATTTGCTCTCTCTGACTGTCCATTACTGATCTACAGTATATGTATGTAAATATAGACTAAAAAAGAACAGAATGAACAAATGGCACCCAACACACAGACATATAATGAAGAGCTGATACAGATGGAGAGAGGAACTGTAGGCCGGTCACATCAGAGAGCAGGGAAAGGAGCACAGAAACCATAGGCAGCCTTTGCAGATTGAACCCCCGTATGGGGACTTTATTAACGGAGTCGAAACAGACACATGAAGGACCTCGAACAGACCATAAGGGAGTACCAACATGACAGGTGTTAATGACAGAACTGCAAAGCATACAAAGGAGAGGCACCTATATACACTGAACACTAATGACAGACTACAGGCAGGTGTACAAGATTAACACGCTAGGGCTGGAAACAATTAGGGAAACATCAGTCAGGTGACACAGGTGAGTGGAACGGAGAGAAAGCGAGGGGAGAACAGGACAAGCAGCAGCAACATCTGCTGGTCAAACCAAGCAGGCAGAACACATTGTGACAAAATCCTCTCACTTGCCTGGATGATGTGTGAGGGAATAGGGGTGTTGTGTGGGAATAGGGGTGTTGTGTGGGAATCGGGGTGTTGTGAGGGAATAGGGGTGTTGTGTGGCTCTGCTGGTTAGGCCTCTGTGCTTGTGACTGAAACGGTGTTGGTTTGAATCCCATGGCAGGGATGAATAGTCACATCACCCTTCTGAACTTGAACAAGGCCCCTGAAAAATGCTCTATGGAATAAATGTCTGACCCTGTGCTCTGAGCCCAAACTTCACCCTCACCTGTATAAGTGAGCTTAGTGGGCTTAGTTTTACCTCAGGACGTTACTTAAACGAAGCAATTACTGATGATATAGATTTTTTTAATCCAGTCCAAACCTGCCTCGTCTGTAATTGTTACGAGCCTCCACCGTAACAATTCAGCAACAATTCTGTACTTCAGCGATAGCAGCCCTCTTTCACTAATAGTACTCCAGTCCCAACTGTCATCTGAGTAATTAGGTCACATCTATAAAGGCACGCCTCATTTTCATAATTTGGAAAAAATATTAATATTTGGATATATGAATATATGAATAAATACTGAGTTTTCCACATAAATGTCGGACAACCTACACTAACAACTTCTGTGACAAGGTTTTCAGTTGGTACAGAGCAGTACATCCAGTGTGTGAAATACGGGGGGGTCCGACACCCCCGATTAACCCATGAGACCCCCTGAAAGCCTCAAAAGCAAAATTTTAAGGAGGTCTCAGGATCGGTATTGCACTGCAATAGGGAGATGGGGACCCCCCCGAATATTGACGGGTATTTCACACACTGAGTACAACATTACTGAGAACACCAATTTATAACCTCACAGTTATACAATACATAAATACAGTTATGTTTGGGAGGCAAAAAGGCCAGTTCTGTTTTTGTGTTTGATGTATGTTAGACATGGGAACTGTAGGCCTTCTCTCTTGCCAGGGTGATCTGATAAGTTGGTGACTTCCTCAGCAGGTCTGGTCTTTGTGCCTGTGATCAGAAGGTCATCGGTTCAAATCCTTTGGCCAGGAGAATAGCCACATTGCCCTTGGACCTTTGTGCAAGGCCCATGTCCCTGAGAAATGCTCCATGGGATACAGTAAATAGCTTACTTTGCACTCTGACCCCATTTGTCACTTTCACCTGTATATGTGTGTAAGTCTTTAAAGAAGAGCACACAGGACAGGAAAAAAAATCCATTGTACTGTAGTTGTGGAAATAAAGCTCTATTCCTTAAAAACCTGCAGTTTAATCTTTAAACAGCCCTCTCAGCCTCCTGCTTCACATTGCTGTAGACACCAAAGCGCTGATCTTGTTTTCTTGGTCATCAGTGAATGTGGTCAGTGAGGGTCATGTTTGATTATTACAAACATGATCAAACAGAAAACATTATAAACACTATTGAATATAAATGCAGAGAAACTTTAGCTGTAAAGTGTTTACATAATGCAAGCTAGTAAAAATATATTATTTGAAGATATGTAACTTTCATGCTAATATTTACAAGGCCACAGGCCTTGCAGGTTCCACCAATCTGAGCTCTGACAAGCTTAGATATGGTGAATGCCAGCTCAGCCTCTGAGATGCTCACAACCTGAGTTATGGAAAACCCCGGCTCAGACTCTAGCCATAAGCTCAAATATGGCATGTGTCAGCTGAGTTATATGAGTCTCCGGGCCCAAACAGTTGAAGTGTATTTCCCAGATAGCAATATGTCATTGTTTCAATGTTGAATTATAGTTAAATGCATTGAATTATGGTCAGTGTTAAATTATCAACATTGAAACTGAACTGATTTTTGGTCAGATTTTTAATATTGAAAAATTGATGGTGGCAAAACCTTGATTCAATGTTGATATAAAGTGAAACATTGAACATTAACATTGTTTCAACCTGTTTGTCTGATATGGAATCAATGTCATTTCAGCATGTGTGTGCTGTTTGGGTCCCCAACCTCTGAAACGAGTCCTACGTAGCAGATCGCCCAATTGGCCAAAGTGAATCCGGTGTACTCCACCGTCCGGGATAAATAGGAGTTCAGCAATAGCAAGAAAAGCCCAGGAATAATCTGAATAACAGAAATGTCATGACTCAAACATTCGAAAAAATCTTTAATAGATTTAATTCGGTTGTTCCTAAACGGGTAAGTAACTTTACAGGAGCGCTCGGATGGACCCACATGCATTCAACGCCTTCGGCTGTCCAATTGGATTCTGCCACTGGGCCAGTGGGCGGATCCCTACATATTTACTTTGTATGAGACCCTCTTCACACAAGTAGGGTAAGGAGAATCCAAAGGAGACTAATCTTTAGGACCCACTGACCCAATAAACGATAATGTAAGAGATGTGATATGAATTAATATTTTCAATTTACAGTGACCTTCCAATAGAAGTATTGTTACCATGTTGTGTAAGCTGGGGGTAAACAGGCTGCTGTGTACAGAGATACAGAACACCTATAGTCTGCCACCCGGTGGTGCAGTTCCCTCTGTCTCTGCCCCTTGGACATGCTCTCTTTGCCTGTAATGAAAGAGCCATGGACATTCAGGTGATGATGTAAATGGATGATAAATATTATGACTAATAAATGCTGCGATGAGGTGAATTGATTGGCTGCTTTACTTACCTGTCGAATCTCTCCCTGAGGTGGACAGTGATGACAGCGGACACCATGATGATCAGACCCACAGAGAACACCACCATCTTCAGCAGACACGGTGAGAAGCCAACAGGGGGCACTAGAGGGGTCAGAACTATATAGTGAGGGAGATGGGAAGAAAACCTCTCTGGGTATTTCCTGCATTTTCTGTATCCACACCTGTACATGTACCGAATTAAAGTTGTTCATGTGCTACTTGGTGAAAATAGATATGTTTCCATGTCTGGTGTCTTTAGACAACTGATGCACATTTTAGAGTAAACTTTGAATTAAAACAGTTTGAGTTCATTATAGATCAATTTAATTTTATGAAAAAACACTTTTAATAAGCAGCATTGTCAGACAGCAATTTATAGAGAATAACACCTGAGGTCCCCAGAGTGTAAGCGTGAGACGACAGGCAAAGTAGCAAAGAAATATTTGGGAGGAACCAAACTCAGTGGGAGGCCCATCCTCCTCTCACCAGCCAGCAGAGGGCGGAATAAGTGTATAACATTTAGTGCTCAGTAAATTCAGGTAGATGGAGGGACAGCACAGGTATGCAGGTGCATTATGGGGTTGGCAGGCAGGTAGATGGGTAAGTGAGGTGGCTCAGGCAGACAGGAAGCAGGCAGAAAGACAGACAGACCAGTGGGCAGGCAGGGTACTCCTGTATCCAGACCTCTGAGTGGTTCATCCCGTCAGGGGGAGGGTATAAGGAAAGTGAGCAACTGTAGAACAGAAACAAATAATTCAAGACAGCAGGATGAATTCTGGCAGGACCAGGAGGGAGAGGAAGGTGGGAGACCGACACGAGGAATCACTGGACAGCAGCACTTCAACAACACATGCTGAGTGGGAGTAAGAGTACTGACAGTACATTACATCCAACATCACTAATTCCCTCCCAGCTCTGTGTGTCAGACTATGTATGATTATGTGTGTGTTTGTGTTCCTTTTGGATCTTATCACCTGTGGGGATGCACCTCATTGTAACATTGCTGGTCTTCTCACTGGCAGAATTAGCTGCAGTGCAGCTGGCAATGACATCGCCCTCTTCTGGCAGAAGAAAGAAACGCAGCTCGGAGCTGCTCTCCCTCTGCTTGCCTTTCTTCCAGGTGTAAGAGGGTCTCGGGTCACCTGTTGAGCTGCACACCAGATATGCTGCACAGGTGAGGATCTCTGGGAGCCAGGTGAGTTCTGACTGGATCTGTACTGTTGTTATGGACTCTAACCATTAAGGACAGAAAATTGAGACAGTGACTTAAAAAAACAAAAAAAAAACAGAGAACTACAATTGCAAAATATTGTCCCTACATTACATTACATAATATCACACCGGAAACCAGCAGCTGGCCTTTATATGCCGCTTATCTATGAAGGAAATTGATAGTTTCACTTGAGATGAGACATTACTGCAGCCCAAATGGATCTCAGGTTCCTGTCAGAGCCAACAGTCTTACAAAGCAAATTGGTGTCCCTAAATTGCCAGTAGTATATGGGATTGCCTGTGTCTTTGCCTCATGATGAAGTGGAATTCTAAGGTATCTCCAGGCTTGTCTCCTCTGCTTCCTGGGTTTACTGCAAACCCAAATTGAATAAGTGGTTTTGGAAAAGTGAGTGAATGAATGTTACTGAGTATATCCAGTTATACATGAAGTGTATAACTCTTATGTCAGTAATGTGTTATAGCTTATTGCCATTAAGGACCATGGAATTCATTTTAAAAGGAAATGTAAAGCTTATATAATATTTTTTATTATATATATATATTTGTCACACATCTGAATCTGGGCTTGTGAATATGGAACACTCCACTTAAATTAATTTTCATTTTCTTACCATTAACTTGCAGCTGGATTTTATATGTGGGAATCTGTGAACCATCTTCCTTCAGTCCTACACGCTGATACTCCCCACTGTCCTCCAGTCTCAGCTCCCTCACAGTTAGACTGAAGTCAGGGCTCAGCTGCAGTCGTCCTTTGAACTGAGCTTGATTATCTACTTCTATGTGACCACTGGATATTTCAGCTCTTATCTTTCCATTAAAAATCCACCACACAAATCTAAAATCTTCCACTTTCAAACTCCCCAGGACTGAAGGCAGCTCCACTGTCCCCCCCACGCTGCCATTTATTGTCAGATCAACAGCAACACAAACACCTGAAATGAAGAAAAGAAAGAAGAAAAGCAATGAATTCTGATTGTTTCTGGCCAGAAGCATAAGCAAGCCTTGTACTTTCACTGTTGGGTATAAAAAAAATGCTATTTGATATCAATCTAGAGGTACCTGAACTGTACTGGTCATGCAGCACATGAATATCACAGAAACTACAGTACCTGATTTAGTTGTACATTCATGCAATGACAATAAAAGGCATTATATTACATTCCTCTATTAGTTGTACATAAGCAGAGATTAAAGACGGTTAGTAGAGAGATTTTTTTACCCACTAGTAGTTATTCATAGTAGAAATTATTTCATTAGTAAATATATAAAATTCGCAATGCATAAAATTCACATAAGAAGAGGGATGAATTTCATGAAACTTATTCTACAGTAGGCACCCTATTTTTGCATCATGCCCCAATCATGAAACAAACTGGTGTAAAAGTTGATAAGCTGATAAAAAGCAGCGTATACTATATACCCGTGTAAAAAATCAGAATGGCATTTACATATAGCAAAAAATATTTAAAACTTACAATTTTCAGTGCAAATTGTGAATTTTTCTTTTTATGAATTTCTTTATGTCATACTTATCTGGGCTGAGCCAACTATAAAATAACCAATTTTTAATAAAAAATTATAGCAATATTTAGATTAGACTGTGTGTCAGTAGGACAGCCATATTGCTATTCAGTATTCCATCAGTTTAACCAGCATGCAAAGTACTATATACATATCCTTAGTTTAAACATATGTAAGATCTAGTTATTTTATTGAATACTGTTCTGTACATTTTCAACAAATAGCTACAGAAACAGGCTGTGGCCACTTGTCATCCTGTTAACAAGTAACTGTATTCATACTGGCTGTAGCTCTGATGATCAGCTTTCAGTTATGTTACCATAATAAACCCCCACTAAATAAATTCCCAAATAAACTCAGCAATATAGTGTTACATGGTTATTGAGATAATTCAAAGTCAGCTTTATTTGTCAATTCTGCCACATGTACAGAACATACAGAGAATTGAAATAACGTTTTCTCACAAACCCTAGTTAACAGTAACATTAATACAAAAAAAAACTTTAAGAATACAAGTAAGAAAAATATGAATAAATAAATAAATACAATATAAAAGGACATGTGGCAGAGAGTGCAGATCAGACATAAAGTGGAATAGAGCTTGTAAGAGGTGATAAGTAATAACGAGCAGCC